TGGGTAAATTTTATAATTAAAAGTTGAAATCTTGAAGCTCCAGTTTATGGTTGAATACTAGGAAATCAATATATATATATATATAAAGGGTAATGATTTATATTCTCCCTTTTTTTGGGGAAGAAAAGAAAAAGTGACAAAAAATTTCAAACATGAACTTAATGATAATATTCTTGAAAAATGGGGAGGCTAATCAGTTTTCTATTTTGGTGATATAATCTGAAAATTACTGTTCAGCCATGAGATATGACTGATATTATGCTAGAAATGATGACAATGTTGTCCTACAAAATATGCCATTGGTTCTAGTGTCAACTCACCTCCTTGGCATCTTCTAAAATGCCTAAGCCCTACCCCACTATTTGAGTCTATTTCTACCAAGTAATTTTACATTTCTTATTTTACTTTATGTATAAGATGTTATGAATTTATTTCAATTTAACCAAAAGATTGTTGCCCAAATACTATTTGTTCTAGTGTATGATTCTAATTGTCTGATTGAAAAAAAAAAAAAAACAAAAAAAAAACAAAACATACGGTCAGACTAAACAATTTGTATTTTATATATGTACTAGTCTTTTCTATGTGCGATGCGCAAAAACATATGCCCAATATTTATATTTTTAAAAATAGTTAACAAATTTTTACTAATTATAATCTAAGTGAAATAAAATTTATTTATTATATTAATCTAATATATAATGAATATATAATGTTTTTACAAGTATTGTTATAATTAAAGAATATAAGAAAAGATATGGTAGATGCATGTGCATGATAAATGTAATGAAAAAGATAACGGAAGTTATAACGGTGTAAGGGTATTTCTGTCCAAAAAATTGTATAGTACAACTCTAAAAGCACAATGTACAAAATGTTTAGCATTAAAAACATGGACATAAATGAGGGGTATAACTTTGATTGAGACTTATTATGTTTTTAGATATTTAAAAATCTGTACAAAATTACAAAAAATTTTAAATTTGAGATGATGAAATGTATTATTTATCCATGATTGGATGCTTGTTATTGATAGTATATATGTAGAAAATGCAATTGATATATGATTAGAATGTTGTCATGGAGTAGAAAATATATGTCAATAAGAACGAATTTATAATGATTGTGAAAATAATTTGGGTTGCATGGTCCAATTTTAATGCTTTCAATCGTTATGCCTTGGACCCGTTAGGCACTGTTATCTCCTTTTTTTTTTTTTTTTTTTTTTTTTTTAAATTTCAGATCACTTTGTTATAGAAGTATATGTTCATAATTTTATTACTATATGTTAATAATTATACATTCATAACTCCATAACTGTACGTTCATAACTCTATAACTGTATATTCATAACTCTATAACTGTACATTCATAACGTCATAACTGTACATTCATAACTCCATAATTGTACATTCATAATTTTCGAAGCTCTATGTTCACAATTTTAGAGCTCTATGTTCATAATTTTATCACTATATGTTCATAATTGTAAGTTCATAATGTTAGAGCTCTTTGTTCATAATTCGATCAATAACTGTACATTCATAATTCCATAACTGTAGATTCATAATCTCATAACTGTAGATTCATAACTCCATAACTGTAGATTCATAACTCTATAACTGTACATTCATAATCTTCGAAGCTCTATATTCACAATTTTAAAGCTCCATGGTCATAATTTTATCACTATATATGTTCATAATTGTAAGTTCATAATGTTAGAGCTCTGTGTTCATAATTTCATAATTGCATAACTGTACATTCATAACGGCATAACTGTACATTCATAATCAAAAAAAAAAATAACGCCGTTAACGGCAAAACACGCGCGAATTTTTTTTTTTTAACTAAATGACGCGTTTTTTTAAAAAACGGCGTCGTTTTGGGCCCGTGTCCACAATTCAATGTGGACACGGGTCCAGAGCATAATTTGCCTAATGCTTTTATATAGTGGTGGTATATTAATTTTCAAGAAGATAAAGAGACATTATTTCAAGTATAAGAGTAAATGTTAAGATAGTTAAGATGTTAGGTTTTAAAAAAAATTAAGAATGGAATTTACTAAATATGGAAAAAAAAAGTGGATACTTAACATTTGATTACAATAGTTTAAAATATAAAATTAATGAATTTATATATTATTAGGTAATTAAGTTTTAATCTCCCTCCACACTATTTGGCAGTCGTTATATTATATCTACCGCGGTAAAAAATGATGTCGTTTCTTTACTCAGTAAAGAAACTGCCCGTCGTTACCGTCAACGGAGTCCGCATGTTTAGTGTGTTAAACACTAACTGACACTACAATATATTTAAACCCACACTGCCTCCATACTATGGATTGCTTCAATTGTTCCAATCACTCTCCAAAACCACTTATTCCAAAATAGCATCTATCTATCTAAGAATGCCCGCAGTTGAGTTGAACATCTATTTGGGCTCAAAGCCTAATAATATGAAGCCCAAGTCATATTGGAGAAGAGACTAGAGAGGCCTTTTCAAGTAGACGACATGTATATGGATATGGCAGTGATGTGATGTCCCTTTCAACACTATCTGCTTACTGCTTACTCGAATATTCTATCACTCACAAATTACAATTTCAACTCTTGTTTTTCTCCATTTTACGATAGATGCAATTTTTTATTGTCGCTCCAATACTCAATAGTCACTATGTGTTTCATTGTTGTTGTCCTCAAAATATTAAATTCTTAATCTTTAGGCCTCACGTTTTGATCCGACAGAGCACCTAAGAGGATGAATGAGTTTCATGCATATATATATATATATATATATATATATATATATATATATATATATATATCAATAGTCACTATGTGTTTCATGCATCAATTGTTATATCGTGCACCAGGACACACAATGCATTGTGCGCCCTAAAAATCCACTATTTTGTATGTACATAATTGTATTATGTATCGTGCACCAGGGCGTACAATGCGTATTATGTTAAGACTTCATGTGTATTATTTAAGAATAAGTTTTTGGAGTACAAGTAGTATTTTTTGGTAGCACAATTAGTAGAGATGACAATTTCAATCTACCCAACAAATATCCATCTAAATTCACCCTGCTTAAATTGATTTTTTTTTTTTTTTTTTTTTTTGTGTTGGGGGTGGGGGGTGGGGGGGGGTGGGAGTAGGTCTTAAAATTTTAAACTATCAGTCAGTTAGGTTGGATACTGATATTTAATTATATACAAAACTCACATAAAAGTCCACTCGATTGACCATGTTATATATATACATGTGTGTTCATTTATTTCTTAATATACATAGTATATAATTAATGAATAGTAACATAAGTACTAGCATTTAGTTAATTCTAAAAGTTTTTATAACACATGTCAACTTTTTATTAAATATACTTCTAAACTAATAAGTTAATTTGAAAATATTGACAATTTAGTTATTATATTTGAGTTTTTTTATTTTATTTTATATTTTTCTAGAACTAGCTAGTGAATTTTATTATGTGTAAATTATTTAATTATTTTAAAATTTATTTAATAAGTTAATTAGCCGTGAGTATCTGGTGAAGTGATGATGAATTTTTAAAAAGCCCGTTTACTACGGGTTGAGTGTAGGGGCAAGGTGGATGGAAAAAGTATAAGAATGAGTATGGTGTTTAATGTAGTCAGCTTTTACCTAGTTAGTCTTTGTTATTTCTACTCTTAACATAGATTTAGAGAGGTATAATTTAAGTTTAGTAATTAATTTAAATTTGTTTGAATATACCAAAAAATGGTATGAAGAGAGGAGACAAGCTAAGTTTCACAAATTTGGTAGCAAGACAAGTGTAATAATGAATGAGATGAGGTATCGAATTGATGAATAAATTAAAGAAACAGAATAAAATGGATAAGGATACAAACACATATATGAAGATAAATTAATAATATGAGAATCTCAGTGGGGAGGAAGAGATGAAGAGTATAGATGAGAGTAGGTGTATATATATAAGATAAGGTGCATTAAACCCAAGGACAAAAGGCCAAGCAGTATATTAAATACCTCTGACCTTCCATGTTTCCTCATACACCAGATACCCTACAACCTCTCATGCCCTACCTTCTTTAATTTTAATTTTTGCAATATATATATATATATATGGGCACGATCTAAGAGTAAGGTATTTTAATAAAAAGTGATGACTAATTATAAATGCTTATCAAGAGTTCATTAATAATTAAAGATTTTAAGTTTAAAAAAACACGGACAGAGAAAGACCCGGATCACAATGTGTGGTTTCCACCAAAAAAAAAAAAAAAAGATTTTAGTGTGTGTGTATATGTATATATATATATATATATATATATATATATAATTTTATATTTATTATAAATGTTTTAACTTTTTAATATTTATAAAAAATCACTTTTTGTTTTCATTTTTTTCAGTGACAAATATATACATGTAGATTAATCTTATTCGTACATTTAGAGATCAAACGTTTTATTTTCTAAAAAAAAAATATACAGAAAATGGTCAAATAGACTTTCGAATTTTAGTTGAAAAATCAATTAGGAGACTCTAGATCACCGGTGATTTGGATCGCCTTCTCACCGAAGATTTGAGAAAACGACTTTGCAGAGTTGCCTTCTTAGGTGGAGAAGGAGACCGGTCACCTTCCAGAGTCAGAAGGTGACCAAGGTCGCCTTTCTTCTTCACGACCAGCGATCATTCGTCGGTCATTGATTTTTTATTATTATTTTTTTGTAGGAATTTGTGTTGGAGGGCCGTCGAAACCCTAATGACTTGTGATAGCATGTTACTAACTAGTTTTCGGACTTCATTGTACTAAAATACAATGTTGATGTGTTTAATTGTAACTTTAAAATGTTTAAGAGCTTAATTAACTTTTGAGGTAAAATTTGATGGCTTATTTCACCATTTTTCCAAAAAAATATTACAAAAGAAAAGTCCATTTAAGTAGTTAATACCAAGTTACCAACCAAACACTCAAACATGCATCACAGCATTTAAGGCACTCTGCAGAAGCAGAAATTTGGAGGATTTGAGTCCCAAAAAAAAAAAAAAAAAAAAACAGTAGGGAGATCGAGGAGAATATGGAGAAGGGTGGAGAGGAGGGAGAGATTAGTTCCGCCATTAATGATCCATGCAAGTGGTTGCAGGAGCTTAGTAGGGCTATGCTTAAGTGCCTTGGTTTTCAAATTTGTTCCGATCAACCATCCCCATCTGCAGCCGCCGCTTCTTCTTCTTCTTCTTCTTCACCGAGTTCATATTCCGGTGAAAATGGTGAAGATCAGAATAAGAATCCACCACCGCCTTCAACAACTGATCCGCCGCCGCAGCTTATTGTTTCACTAGTATGTAATTAATTAATTAATTGCTCGTATGTTTTTCTTCATTAATTTTACTTTCCATCTATCTGCATGCACTTCCCTCCCGGCCTATATATTCGATCATTATATTTAAGCATGCAACCATGAATTAGCTAAGCTAGCTAGGTCTAAATTAACTAAATTATTGCTGTTAATTACGCTTTTTGTGTACGCATATATGCAGAGACAGCAGAGTAGCAGACCACCACGCCCAGGATTAGGCAATAGCGGAGATCCTCAAACTAATGACACCTCTTCTTAAACCTATTCCATAATGTATATTATATGAAGCTTAGCTTCTTTATGGATATCTAACTGCATCTTTTTTTTTTTTTTTTTTTTTTTGGTTTCTCTTATTAGTGTGTATTCAGTGTGAATTAATGTATGATTAGCGAACTATGTAGTGTGATTGCATCTGAATTATCATTCTAAATGAGTGGTGGTTATATGTTTGAACTTTGATGGTGGGACTTAGATTCTTTAAATTGAAAATGAATGGAGGTATAAATAGGTATATAGAAAAATAAAAAGTAATGTATGAATATGACTGGCGCGATTCTCTACTTCTCTATGTATATATAACGGGAACTGGGACAAATATAAATAACTTTTTTTTTTCTTTTTCTAGATGAACATTAATTATGTGGAAATTCCAATTCGTGTGTGTATATATATAAAATTTCATATTCCTTTAGTTAGTTCGGTATGTATAGTCATCAAAATGATTTTAAGAATTCCTATAGTTGAGGGAAAAATGCAAAAATAAAAACCTAAAACGAAAGAAATTATATTGCTCCGTATTACACTTTTAGAGATCTTTTTAAATTTGTTGGCCCTTAGTATATATTTTTGATCAATTTTGATTTACTAGAAAGTTTGTGATCGGCAATGGAAGGTGTGTTATGGACTTATGAGTGAAGCTCATGTTAAAATACACAAATAATACATGTAATTTAACCTTATAGCGAAAGTATATGATCAAGAATCTCCAGCCATAGTTGTAATCCTCGTTGCATTGTTTGAAGAGCAGTAAAGAATTTTAGGATTTTGTCTACCACTTGGTCTCCTGTACAACTAGATGGTGTAGGATTTTGTCTAATGATCCTCAAGTCCAACTAACTTAACAAGGATTATAATTCCCCACCATAGTTGGACATGTTAAATATGTACATGTAACAGACACAATTTTCAACTACTTAAACAAATTAAATTGCTTTAGTTGAAATTTGGCAGATATGTACAATTCCAATATAAGGATTAAAAAGTATATCATGTCTAAAATTCAAAATCTCTATTGTGGTTGGGCTGAAAAAACAAAGTAAGCCACATGCAGTAACAATTTCAAGTTACTAAAGTTTTGGAGTTTAACAAAATACATGTGTTGCCAATGCAACCCATGTGACATAGAATTATAACTAGCCTTAAAGTTATAAATTCTAAAATTGGTATAATAAAATTTTATCTTGATCATCAATTTAAACAGAAGAATCCAGTGACATAAAACTTGCCTGTAGGCTAAAGATTTATTCAATTAGACTCAACTGAGACTTTATGATAATCAAATAGAAGAATCTAGTGACACAAAACTTGCCTGTGGGCTAAAGTTTTGTTCAATTAGACTCAACTAAAACTTTATGATAAAATTATTATCAAAGGGGATAGAAGAATCTAGTGACATAAAACTTGCCTGTGGGCTGAAGTTTTATTCAATTAGATTCATCTACAACTTTATGATAAAACTATCAAACCATGTTCCTTTTCTTAATCCCTGTGGGTAAATTAAGAAATATGATTTAATATTTTATCTTGACTATTTACATTAATATAATAAAATTCCTGTGGGTAAATTTTATTATACTTTATGTAATTAGTCACAAAGTGATCAAAATAACTTAATGATTTCAGTTATGAAATTGTATTGATCACTTGATATTTGTACACAAAAGAATATTAATGTACCAAGCTATTAATCCAAATTTCTTCCATACATAATAAATACACATAAAAGAAACTAGACTAATACCACAAAATGTACACATAAAAATACTTTGGAATATGTACATATATCATAACTTTATGATAGAAGACGCCAATTTATTTATATTAAAACCATATGTTAAATAAATTGACCTTCCTATCTATAATGATAAAACTCACCAAAACTATATTCCGACGCATAATTGCCTGTGGGCTAAATTATGATCATGGTTTGGTGTTTTTACCCTAATTAATTATATAAACATAATAACCTGTGGGCTAAATTTTATTATATCATATAATTAATCACAATCAATGCGTCTATGACTGTATGTGATCTCACAAAATTTCAATTTATCAAAGATACCGTGACTATTACTTAATTAATCAAAATTATAAGATCACTAGACTATTTTCTTAATATCTTAGGCATCAACTTTAAAGCCTAAAAACAATTATGCAACAATATGATAAACAATCCCAAGTGTACTCCCGGGAAAGTTGGTTGGGACGGAGCCTCATTAAAAATAACCAACTTCTTAGACAGAGTAATGTTTCAAGGGAACTAGTAGCACATTGGCTCTGATACCAAATGTTAGAAATACACAAATAATACGTGTAATCTAACCTTATAGCGGAAGCATATGATCAAGAATCTCCAGCCATAGTTGTAATCCTCGTTGCATTGTTTGAAGAGCAGTAAAGAATTTTAGGATTTTGTCTACCACTTGGTCTCCTGTACAACTAGATGGTGTAGTATCAAGTCACAGGAGCAGTGGGAGGACCATACACATATATATAACCTACGTGCCATCATTATAGGTTAAGTAACGGAAACCGTTACTTCCGTTTCAAACCACAACATTATGACCATAAATGGCCTATTAACTTGCACCACTTAATGGTAACATAATGGAAATGTTATAGCTCACCTTGTGAATTTAGTCGACAAAAGAATTAGTAAACCAATTCAGGTTGTTCATAGTTGATATACTCAAACTCAAAAAATCAATAAACAATTCTTCCAAAAAGTTAAAATCTAAAACTTTATAATTATTAAGCCAACTGTACGGAATACCAAAACCAATCCTTACTCTCAATTTTTGAGAAACAAATCCACATTTTTTGAGTTGAATTCACGAAGTTTGGCTCTTATTTAAAAAAATGTAATTCAAAACCATTTAGCATATATCGCACGAGTTGAGGTGTAAATTAGGATTAATCTTACTACTTTTTCAAACAAGAAGCTTATTATCCGTGCCATTGGATTGGCGGAAGCTTTGTAGAATAGACGCTATGACAAGAGACTCGTCATCTACAATCTCGTCCAACTCCGCGGTGGATGGCTGCGGTGGCGGAGGCGGCGGCGGCGAAGGCGAAGGAAAACAACTGGAATGATCTACCGTGTACACAAAATTAGTGGGAGCGTTTTGGATCCCAGAAAACGCAATAGAAGAGAGATCATAAGCCAATGCAGCTTCCTCGGCAGTGTCAAATGTGCCTAGCCAATGCCTTTCTTTAGTGTATGGATTTCTGATCTCAGCCGCATATCTTCCCCATGGCCTTCTTCTAACTCCTAGATACTTAGTAGAGTGTCTTGAACTTCTCCTTCCATGTTTTCTCATGCCCAATGGATTCATGGAGGTTTCCATCTTCTAGTATATATTGCCTTGATGATTTCTCGTGGATCGGAGTACGTAGTGTTTAGGCTGTAGATAGTAGTGTACTAAACTACTAATGGATCAATGGGACGTGATGGGCTAGCTTTATATAGTAGTGAAAATTTTTCAAATCTTATAATTCCAGACATTATTGGTAATTAATAAAATAGCACTTCTTTGATATCCATAGGCGTGCAATGCATTAATTAATTTGAGAAATGTATTTAAAAATTGTTTGTCAAGTGGTACAGGTGGGAATTGTTTCTGTAATGGTGGTTTGTGTTGAGCTTATTCCTTAATTTCCTCGCAAATGACATAATCAGGGTGGGCATAGTCCGTAAATCCTTCCACAACTTCATGCCTGCATGATTTTTTGTCATTCTGTTAGTCATAAATTCATCCCCTCCCCACTTTTGTTAATAATTTTTTGAAAAATGCTATTTAAACTAAAATCTTTTACTAATTATTTTGTCCAATTATAAGACTCATGATAAACATAACAAGCTTTATATTCATTAGATATCGGATCGCTGCCAACCCTTCGCATATTGCATTGCTTGCAAACTCTTCCCTTGTCTTCTTGCAATCAATTCTTGCCATTATCTTAAATTCTTAGATCACGATGAAGAAATGACTCAAACCTCTTTTCCGCAATTAACTTGAAAGAAAAGGTTAATAAAGCAGTACTCTGTATATTTTTGGGCGTATGGGTTAAGGGCTGTGCATGCGTACGTTTAAGTGTTTGGGGTTTATGCTTTATCATCCATGTATACTTGCCCCAATTAAAGGTTAATCCTTTTTCTTTTCCACTTGGAGATTTTATCAAGGCTTTGAGTGGTAATGTAATATTGAGCCGACGTTCTTTTATTCAGCCAACATAGACAATGATGCCAGGCTTGATAAAATCCTCAAACTTACTGACAACTTTATCATAGTAAACATAATTCACAAAAATTAAACCAGACTTACAGATTAATCTTCTACCAGCGGAGTATATGTATTCAGGAATCAGTAAACACAATTTGCTGTGCTTCATAAAAATAACAGTAGCTCGATAGGTTTAACGTTAATTAATACCGTAGACACAATTACACCTGAAATGAAGCTCATAATTCTCTCAATAAAAGAACGTTTTCTTAGGGCATGGAAAGAAAAATATACAATCACATCAATATTTTCTTCTGATAAGAAATGGAGTTAGACACACCACAAATACATTTTTTTTTACAAAAAATAACAGTAACCAGCAGTAGGAAATAAGAATATTACACAGCAGCAACGTATCATAGTAACATTCAGAATAATGGGGAGTATATAGAACCTGATAATTTCAATGATCCAGCTTACGTAAGCTTTCTCCACAAGTTTGAAACTTTTGAATGTGACAAGCTCTTCACCCTGGGGAAAACAAAGCCCGCCTTTGGAGGATTCCCATCAATCAGAGAGTTTTCATATATTTCTTTGCATTCTTGAACAACCTGTTTGGGAAAGACGTCCCACATCAAGATTGGGGAGGAAAAAGGAGGAGCTTATCTAAATTGTGAAAAGAGAATAGGTTTTGTCAACTCTAGATAACTAGCCTGAGTTTCAAGCTCTAGTTGCGCAGAGGTGGGTCCTAACTTATTGGAGTATTCAACTATTCATACAATTAGATGTATATTTACAATCAAGTACTGCTCTTTCATGGATATCAAAGTTATGGTTTTCTAAATTGTGCTTTAAGTGTGAGAAACCTTTGTGCAGATGCATACCTCTCTGGCATCTTTTCGTGGTATGCCCTCTCGCAATCCCACAATCTTTTCAACTACCTCTGGCTGCATTTCAAAGAATGACAGTTTTAGTATGGAGAGAGGAAAAAATAAGATGACTAGAAGTAAACTTGCTTTCTATTTGATTAGAGAATTTTTCTATGTGCAAATAGTTGCTTATAAACTTACAGGACAATCTGGTTGATGCTCCAGAATGTTTGTGTAGACGAGGGTGAAAGAATCAGGGCTCTCTGAAGAAGCAAGTTCTCTTAAATCACCAAGTATCCTTAATCTGTTCTCTACTTTCTGCAACAGAATTTTTTTTTTTTTTTTTTTTAAAATGTTGTAATAACTCAATCTAGATGGACACACTTCATATCACTGAGAAATTGAAATAGTAAGCATAAAACTTTAAGAAAATGTAGCTAGCTTCCATTTTTGATATGAGGGGAATATCAAAAGTGGCAAGCCAAGTACATAACTTGTATGCAAATGCTATTAGCAATCATAATGGACTTTCCAAGAAAATACAAGGAGGTGATGAGGAAGTCAAAAGTATAAAATTTTTAAAAAAGAAAAAAATAATAAATTCAAAGATCAAGTTCACCAGGAATGTTCAATTAGTGACTGGGCTTACAGAAACACTGATGTACTCCCTGAAGAAATCCATGAGAACTTCTTCATCTAGCCTCATTCTTTCAATTGTTTCTTCCTTGATATAATTTTTCTACAATATCAGATATTCAGGAATAATCAGGTGATTTGAAGCAATAATGTTATGACAAAATAAAAGCAAAAGCATAGCAAGTAAATTCACTTGTGAAGTTCTCTTAATAGTAACCTGTATAAGCAGATGATCCACATAAACAACTACTGTCTCCTCCAAGCAAGCCTCAACAAAACGCCTAAATGATCTTTCCTCAATGTACCTTAAGCATATTACAAGACAGAAGATGTCAAAAGGGTAAGTTCTTTAAAAATAAACATTTTTCTATGAATATAATGCATATGTTTCTGGCTTCAGATAACTTGAAGCTATTAGCTAGAACTATCAATGTTGACAAAAAACATACATTTTCACATCAGTGAAATAATCCACAAATGTTGCAACTAGGTACTCAGTAACCTGTCCTTCCAACCAATCTGAAATCATGAAGAAGAAGAAAAAAAATCAATGTGGAGATCATGTAAGGGCAACCTTAGTGGTTTTTTTTTTTTTTTTTTTTTTTTTGGGGGGTGGGGGGGGGGGGGGGGGATTCTTTGCCATGTTGGATATTTGAAGATTCAAAACAACTTTAAAAAAAAAAAAAAAAAAAAAAAAAAAGTAAGAGTGGTTGCCGACCACTCTCACTCGCCACGCGCGCAGGTAGTTTTTTTTTTTTCTTCTTTCTCCTCTGACAAAAACCCATATTGGCAGTAAAACCCCATTTTTCTCTCTCCTCTCTTCTCTTTCTTCCATATCATCAAAAAATCCATGGAAAACTGTGAAAAACTCTCAATGGGGATGCTCTTTTGGGATGCTAGTCAGCACTTGTAATTGGATTGATTTATTAGAGAAGTTGCAGCACAATAAAAATATCACATATTGGAGACCCAAATCATTTAATGTGTTGCTATCAAGAATCAATAGGACAACCAAATACAAAAATATATTTCAAACCATTTTGATATTGACTATAGGAATTAAGGAAAACTATGTGAATTAAAATTGATCCACCTCTTTGATACAGTTTAACAAATAATTCCTGCACTCCAGGATCTTCAAAAATGACATTGACAGTTTGATGAACAGCTTCCTGGAATGAGTGAAAACAAGTTTAGTACTCTTCCCATTAAGGATCCAAGGGCAATAAAACAAGAAATAAGCAAGTAATGACACTCTAGAACATTTTTTAAATGCTTCATTACCATATTCCATTCAACTATGAGCAACACATTTTTTGGTTTTTCACTTAAAGAAATATGTTTAAATATCTGAGAATTGGCCGATCATGAAAAGCCATCCTACAAATCATGCAATGCTAGTGAATAAAGATTAAAGAACCTAGGAAAATTAATGATAAGGCATCTAGAAAAGAAAGTTAAACTTGCTTTTATTGAGAGAGAAATATTCACATTCAAATGATGGATATCAAACTCGCAATTTAACTCAAACATGATTTGCATCATTCCTTTCCCTCCTCACATATGATGAGGCAATTAAATGCTTGTTTGGGTTTGGGGTGTTTTGTGTGTGTTTGGGGGGTCAGTGCTTGGGGCTTCACTTACCTTGGCAACCTCAAGAAAACCTTTGCAGGTATCCTCAAAATTAACCTGTTAAAAAAAAAAGAGCAGACCAATTAGAACACGATAGAAAAAGAATTGACAACAAAATTTTCCTGTGAATGATTAAATGAGAAATAATTAGATGTATTCCAGTTTCTCTTGTGCTTGCTTGTACCACTCATTGAAACAAGGATTGCCCTTATATCCAACAGTTCAAAAAACATTACTAACCATCTACTGGCCTTAGGTGACATGTATTGAAATGTTAATCAATTAAATTGTGTTACTCTATCATGTCACACCTATGACAACAAAATGATATGTGTGCATGTATGTTCTGCTTAGTTCTAAATAGTTCACCCACATGATATGCAAATTTTTACAGACAGAAAGCTGGATAAAACCAAGCTGAGAGAACAACATAGAGAATGATGCATGCTAAAGGTCATGAATACTGATGGTGCTGCAGTGCTGGACTTCACACAACAATTTCCATCTTGGTTTGTAACATGTAAGTGAGGGAGGAAACAGTAATCACCTGCTCAGCATAATTCTCCGGAAGAGCTTCAATGGTGCTAGAACTTAGCTCCATAGCGAGATCATAACAGCGAAGGTTATTGTTTATCTGTTACAAAATTGTGTCAGCAAAATATGCAAAGGAGGATGTTCTGTTTGCAAATCTATTAAACCTAGCATGTATACAAAATTTACAAACCACTGCACATAGAGGCTCCAAACCAATTTCAGATGCAGGTTCTTCTAATCTCTTTCTTTCAGCACCTTGAAAGTCAATCATTACCTGGTAAAGAAAATAGTAATTCATTTTGGTATATTAAAAAAAAAAAATTGGTTACAAAAAACTGGTTATAATAAAATATGGAAAAACAAGGACTGCTGTTTATCCCAATTCCATCACGTTAAGAGTCATGAAAATTCTCAACCCCATCAAGTAGTAATGCATTTATAAGGCAAATATAT